ACGTTTGTTACGTAGTACGTACGTAGTAGTAGTACTACGTTAGTATACTACTACTATATATAACCTAACCCTACCTTATTTAGTTACTAACTACTATATATATATATATATATATATATATATATTTTTTTTTTTTTTTTTTTTTTTTCTTAAAATTCTTGTTACATGCTTGAAATCCAAAACAAACGGTGCGTACTTTGATAATTTGACTAAACTCATGTTATGTACCAAAGTACCAAAATATCTTTGCTTGTTCAAAATTTAAAACCTTTAATAGAGCCATTATAAGAATTATTAACTAAATAATTGAAGAACGAAAATGACCTTAAAGTAACCACTTTAGTGGTCGATTGATTGGACCTGCAAATTTTTTGAGGTAGTTTTACCATCTTCCCTCAATTATTAATAAATTGGCATTCACTCAATTATTAATAGGTTGGTATTCACTAATTAAGTTTCCGCTCATTCGATCCACCCCTTTAAAGTTCAAAGTTTGATTTCAAAGATGTGGATAATCAATGGAAGTAGTTATGAAAATGTCACTGTCCTCTGTTGTACATAACAAAACTTTCATTGCAGGAGTCCACGATCGTAGAAATCCATGTGTACTTTCTCTATTTTATATGAGTAGGACCCAAAGTTCCCCCACGTTGTGCATAGTAGTGTGGTGTCAGATCGGCCACCGAACCGGTGGGAGATTTACCTTGTGAAAACCATTTTCACAATCACTAGTCAAATTGGTTGACTGGATCTTAAAATAAAATAAAATAAAATAAAATGTATACCATAATTTAAAAAAATAAAATATATTCCATTATTTACCTAACTCAATTAGCTGGTCAAATGGGTTAAAACCAAATGGTGTGAGCATCAAAAAAAGGTCAAGCACTAGTTATGATCAATTTTCGACTAAGCATAATTTTTTATTAAAAAGCATACAAAGAGACTATTTGCTTCTAAACTTAATACAAGGTGGTTACAATCACTCGTATCCATCATATTTCAAATCGGATGAAGTGGTTGTTAGTGTGTCATTGATTAGACTCAAAATTAAAAAAAAAAAATCTCGAACTTTGTGTCACGCCCCATACCATCCAATTTGACTTCTGATGCTTAGTAGCAATCATGACCTTATAATAAAGATAAGTAGTCTCATAGTATACAATCTATTTTTTACCTTAGTCTCATAGTATATAATCTATTTTTTACCTTGGATCAGATTGGAAAAAGTTCTGGTCTAATATTGATAAGTAGGGTGCATATACATCTCTCTCTCTCATTTTTGAAAGATAATAATAAAACAAAACTAGATGTCACATAAAGTCCAGCCCAAAGAAAATTATTAATAATTTACAATAAGGGAAGAATTAAGAGCGGCCTGCCTAAAGCCAGTACATTGCCTCCTGATTCGCTTCACAGTAGACATCAACGAACGAAACATTTCTCCAAGAGCACAAGTACCTAATCTCAAATGGAATTGACTGCAACATCCAAGGACATCGTTGTAAAAACCCCACCCCAACAAAAACAAAATATCATGGGTTCAAATGCAAGGGAAATACATCAAAACATGATTCAATACAAGATTAAGAATCGGGAAATAGCAGTCAGTATACAAGGGACAGGAAATTGTCCGCTCTGATATATGCCCAATATGGGACAATCAAAATCGTATATGGACATGAGTGGTTATTTCGAAGTTCCTAGCAACTGTTACAAATCAGTGCATCATTCTCATGAAACTCTAAAGAAAAGGGTTATATAAGCCCCATTATATCCATCTTTTTCTTTTCCAAAAACCCAACCTTTATTTGTTTGATAAGCTCACCATTTCCTAAATATATTAATAAAAAAAACGGCATAACTGATATATCTATTATAACATCCACTAAAACATTATAAACCCTGATAAATCAGCTGCAATCACATTTTCGGCTCAGGCCAAAGCTGCTCTAAACCTTTACATAGGCATTTTGACCCAAGCATCAAATGTAACATTAAAGACACACCAGCTGTACAATCGCATCCGAATGGCATTCTCACATTCCATTACTTTTTTTTCTTTTTTTCCTTTTCATGGTCAAGTAGCAAGTTAGCAAGTACAGTGATTTAGATGCAACAAGGTGATTTTTGAGACTATACTGATATATTATAGTAGTACAAAAATTAAACATACCGATCATGTGATCAAGAAATCATGGATCTCCTACTAAACTGGTTCAACAAAGATGGATCCATCCCTTCAATGCTCATCTGCATCTTAACTGCCTACAAATATAGGGATACAATCACTCATCCAAGAAAATGAAACCACTGAAACAAGAGCAGATAGTTCCAAATATGAGGCTTTTACATAAGGGAAGTACACCATAAAAAATGTTGCATGGTACTGTTGTATATGGCACACCGGAGAAGCATCCACCTTCCATTCCCAATGACAGATGGTGACAGTGATGGTGATGGATGGTGAATGTCCCAGTCGGTCCAACAAAGGTTAATTTCCACCATCAGGATACCTAACTGTTGTATTCTATTAAGAGAAAGGAGTACAATTGATCACTATCAGGATACCCCTTTGATGCACATATATAACATATGCTAGGGGTGCATAGCATAATTTCACCATATACAACATACACAAGGTGCGGCATAGCATAATTTCCCATTAAATAATTGGTTTCATATACGATGCCTGCATTGAAGTTTCCCACAGTTGTTAACAAGGGATGGCTGGAGTTTGACAGTCTTCGAGCAGTGGGGAGACACACCCCATCCGTCTCTTTCTGAAATCTGATGGCTGGAGATTCCTTGAAGTGTAGGAAACTTCAATAAAGAAACAACTGTATGAAACTTCATGTGTTCATTGTATACATTTTCAAAAAAAGGGACTACAAATGCTATGAGAAAGTACAAAATATTACTAATAAATGAAAAACTAGTCATTATTGGTCCTCAAACATATATGAAGTTCCATATGTACCTGCTCTGGGACCCCAAAATGAAGCATACGGCAAAACCTTGCTAGCCTTGGATCATCATCAAACTAAAACAGAATGTAACAGAAGTCAGTTCATCAACACCCGGGTTTAGATATATAATCAAGTATCTAAAACATAATCAAGAACCCAACATGTTAGAACTAAATGTCCTTCATGACTCCCATTAAAGCAATCATGTTTCATAAGGTGTGTAGCAACAACTAATGTCCTTGTCTGTTTCATTTGTTTTAAGAGCTCAGAGACAGAACCTTCGAGTCCTGATGATAACCGTACAACAGAATATTATATAGGGCCATAGGTCAGCAGATATATTTGAAGGTTGAGCAAAGCCTGATCCATAAATTCAATTAAATTGTCCAAGGGTTTTCTCCAATGGCTGTAATACATGGAACAAAGCTTTGATTATAAAAAAATAAGAAAGAAACGAAAATAGAACATAAGAACATGTGATGACAGCTCCAAAGGATTCGAAGAAAATATGGAATAAGAAGCAAATGGAAGGCCGGTGGAGCCATGAATGCCCAAAGCGACAAAGAAATAAGCAGCTAGCAAATAGAAATCGAGTAGGCCAGCCCCAACTAGCAAAAAAAAGACAGTCTCATGAGCTGTAACTGGGCCAAATATTGGACGCAGGTGGACAGCCCAAAAAAGCTGCCTGCTTAGGTTGCTAAAATGTGGCAAACTGATATGTAATGCAATTTCTTTTTTTGTCTTATGGAACAATGAAAATTTATCGCTATGTCCAAACCCAAAACTAGAAAGAAAATAAGGTTTCAGTGGTGTGATGTACACTCAGTTTAATTCTACTAGCATCTTTGGCCAAATCACATAATGCTTCATATTCTCAAGTGCTTTTTTAAGTAAAGAAAGCATCAGTTAATCAAATGAAAACTCAAACAAGATGACAAAGATCCGAACCGGAGGTTGATTTTGGCTGGGTGTTGAAGGTTGTACCGATGTTGATGGTGTCTGCTGTGGGGCATGACTTTCACTGAAATTCAAACATGGTTTTCACAATGTTAGAGGAAAATAAGCACAAAAGAAAATGACAATGTAAACACTACATGAAACAATGTTAGTACAGGGAGATAACCATGATAACTAAGATTTGAATTATTAACAAATATAGAATAGCTACATTGTAATAACTTAAAATAATCCCACTATTTTAAACTAGTCCCACTACTTTTGTTTTTATTTTGGAGGGGTGAGGTGGTGGGAAGGGGGGGGGGTTAGGGATTCAAGAAAAAATTAAGGTTTCCTGATAGACAGAAAGGATAGGCACATATAGTAAAGGTATTTGAGTAAACTTGCCACATTCCTATCACATTGGTTGGGCCACATTTGAGCTTCCCAGGAAAACCCTAATAGCGAAGTCCTGATGCCAAACTTATAATTACCACTTGATGCATCTCTCAAAATGTGTACCATTTCAAATTGCCCACACAATATGCATCAAAGCTATGTGGATTTTTTACCAATCGTCAAAGTTATATATATATATATATATATATAGCAATAATTACTGGAGACACACAATATGCCTTGAGAAAATTTACTATGGAACAACTATCAACCTGTGTTTCAGTGTCATCATCATCATCAAAACCTTTTCCCAATTAATTGGGGACGGCCCGTGTATCAGTGTGCTTTATTGAAATACTTCTTTTCATGTCACAGTCGGACTCACACACCTGCTCCCAAGCACCAAAAAAGGACCCAAATACAACAAAATTGAACATTAGAGCATTTCCACCTGATCACCGACATTTTGTATCTATGCATAATAATGTGATGATCCTCCGTCTAAGATTTTGCGAATAGTTTTATGCTCATTAATAGAATCAACATCCAATAATATGTAATATTCAGTTCATTTCATCATTGAAATCAGGCATTCAAGGTAAACTGTCCCATGATTACTTAGTTAGCAACAGTCACTTGTGGTCAAGCCACATTACATATTGATATGGAGCTTCCATTGATATGTTTAGGACCTTTTTTTGAAGAATGTTAACTAGATATACTTAGGACTTGCACTCATCTTCACCATAAACAAAATGTGATTAACAAACATCCTGCCAAACGAGTATAAATGAAATGGAAACCAAAAATTTCTCATGAAAATGAAACTAAAAAAACAAATAATGAATGTCAATCATTAACAAGAGAAGCAAGTTGAACAAAGTGAGTAATGATATAGGAAAAATAATCAAATAAATGGAAGAGTCTAACCTCAAGGTCATTATCGATCCATATGTCGGCTCATGGGATCTTTCGGCAGAGGAGCAACTTCCATTTGTATACTCAAAACAGCGCTCCTTGACTCTTGAACCATCCTTAATTTCTTCAATTCCATCTATACTCCTCAGTTTGGCCTCCAAAAGTGTGAGAGTTGCATCTAAACGCAGTATTCTCCTGAACAAATTGAATTAGATAAATAAAACAGTATGCGTAGCAAAAAACTAAGAAGCAAACTAGAGAAGTACATTCAGCCCCTAACATGATTGAATATCTATCCAAATCATCCATGGAAAAATTAATTTCTGGATAACATGGACTTGGCAATCAACCACCGAGGTAGCTTTGACAAATGGATTGCAGAAATATTAGATAGAAATATTCATGTAAAACACCAACAACGGACATAGGAGATGTGGAATTTTCAAACTTCTATTTCCAAACTGTTGCCATAGCATTACTTGACCGGGTTCATAAATCTGGCAATTGGGCAATGGAATTCGAAATTTAAATTTTTGGAGATCTAATTAGCTTCAGAATCAATTTATACTTCATGTGTAGAATCCAAAACGGCAAGCCGAAAAATTCACACATTTTCTTCCAAGTTAAAGATGTTAGAAAACAAAACTCAACAAAGCCTTTCTCTTTCCATACAAAGCCCCTGCCGCACCCAACAGCCCACCCTGTCCACAACCCCCCCCCCCCTACCCCCCACACACACACACAACAAAAAAAAAAAAAAGAGAAAAATAATCACGATTTTCTATTACTTTTGGGGCATGTTCTATTGTTTTTGGGTTTAACAGGGGCAACTTCTCCATCGTGATTCATTTGGCACATAAGTTTTCAATGGTGCAAGAATGAAGTATTAAAATCATAGAGTGGTTCTAGATGTCCCTTCTGAAATTTTTACAATCATTTATCATATGAGGATACAGACACATGGTAGGTAAAAAGACAAGAAAGGCACAGGCCATATCAACATTCAAAGAATAATAACATGAAGTCATCGATTAGAAATAACTAGAATAATAACACAAAAGTTGGGACTTCCAAGGAGTCATATCATTTAGATATTGGAAAAGTCGATGGTATTAACTCCCAACTTGAAAGAATGAAACCCAAATTCAGATTATTTTCAATTAACTTTAACTGTTAGCAACATATGCATAACATGCGCCAAATCCCACTGGAAACAACCGCCATCGCTCTCCCAACATTTCTCAAAACCACCAGTACCTTAAACCAATTGTTCTTGAATCAGACATCCTTAGGCCCCATCAGTCAATAACCACATCTGACACAGGCCTAGCAAGTGACCCCAAGTAACAACAGTGAGGTGTGGTACCCATTCCACTGATATTACAAACCACTCTAACTGGGTTTACGTTTGGGTTTTCAAACAGCTTTCTGAGAAAAAGTCCACCCAACTCTTTAGCAAAAACGAGCAAAAAGAGAAAAAAAAACAACGATTAACCAACTGATTCCTGCTCACAAACTCAAAGAAACACTCGAAGCTCGGCATAACTCAATTAAGCCAGTTTCCTATAGATGAAATGGATCAACTATTGGAGTCCCCTTCTACAATTCTCTCGTCTCTCCAAGCTCCCAATTGGACTTTACCTAAACAAGGGTCGTTCAGAGATTCAGACGATACCTGTTGTATAGGGCTATTAAAACCTGTCTTCCCTAATATCATTAATGATTCATAAAGCCTCCTATAAAAAACGTATTCACTTTTGAACCACCTAAACATAACAGCCCATATTTTCTTCAAAATACAAGCAATAGTTGCTTCAAGAAGATGAATTGTGAAGTAGTATTTCCACTACAAGGTTTAGTAGAAGCCACCATAGCCAGATCAAGACCACCAGACCAGAACAAACATGGAGGAACCTCTCCTCCTCCCCAAAACAAAACCCTAAAATTTCCCTCATTGATGTCTTTTGTTTGCATGAATTTCAATTAACAGCTTAAATTTAGTGAAATTAGCTAACAAAATGTGAGCAGTAAATACACTCGAACTATGGGATCCTTGCAAAAGCAATCACCAATCAATAACAACCCTAGAGAGAGATTCAATTTCTCTTGCAAAGGATCGACAAAGAAATCCCTTCCTAGTTTACAGATAGAAACGAAAGAGAGAGCGACAGAGAGAGAGAGAGAGAGATGGAGGCATAAAAATTGAATAGAAAATTAACCAAGCGTCAATCACCTGTGAACATCAGCTAGCTTTTGTTCGCATAGGGCCGAGAACCTGTTCAGGAAACGAGCTGTGTCCACTATGAATATGTTCACCTACTCCATTGGAAACAGAATTTGGAGAGAGAGAGAGAGAGCAAGGATCATCACACTGTTAAAAACATCAAAAACATCAATAGGAAAAAGGAAAATAGAGAGAAAGCAAGAGAGAGAGTTAGAGAGAGAAAGGGTAGAATAGTTACGAGATAGAGAGTTCTTTGATCGGAGATGGACAAGGCGTTATCTTCTTCTGAAACCTCCTCAACCGATCTCGAAACTACAATTCTCCTGTGCATAGTTTCCCGCTCTTCCTTGACAAAATGTTTTCCGGGTTTCTTTATTTATTGGATAATTTTAATATTTTTGAGAAAGATTACGTATGACATAATTTAATTAGGGGTTTAATTTGTTACATACCTGAATCTCTTAAAAAGAAGTCGAGATTTATACCAATAAAGGAAAAAGTTTATATAAAGTTGCAACGTGTAGAATTACGTACCTCAAAAATCTATCCAAAAATATTATTTTAATGTTAAAAAACCCTATAATTTATTATATAATGGGGAAGTATGAATATGATAAAAATAAGATTTTTAATCCTATAAATAATGCATCTTGCAACACATTATCTATACAATATATTTTTAGGATTTTTATATATTTGTCGATCTACTTGATTTTAATTATTTTTTAAAATTAAAATTATATAATTAAGTATGAAAATAAATTTTTAGATAATCCTAATTTTTTTACATAAATTATATGTTATGATAAAATTTAAAGGTGCCTCTTAATTGGATTGTTTAAGGTTGCAACATTATAGAAACCACACTTCTATATTAAAAAAAAAATTAATTGAAAATTAATTCCATAGGATCATATTTTACAATATAAACTAAATTTTAGTTTTATTACTTTATTTCTAAACCAAATTAAGTTTATGTTTTTGGTATGTTCGTACTTTTCAACATCATAGGCTTATTAAAAAATAAAAAAATAAAAATAAAAATATTTAAATGCCTTAAATTTTATAGAGTTATTTTGATGGTTTGTTATTTTAAGATTATTCTTTAAATATTTTTTTATAGGCGTGTGATGCTTTAGATATACGCAATTTGAACTTAACTAGAAAAAGAGTTCAGGTTTAATTGGTTAGCGCTTGACGAATTGCAACACTACATCCTAGGTTCGATTCCTAGGGTAGGTGCGCTCTCCCCACTAAGTCACCCAAAAAAAAAAAATTTAAACTTAACTCGATGCATAGGAAAAGAACAAAATTAACACACACTTACAATATTAAAAGCAAGGCTTAGAGCGAAAATTATGAAATATGGGGGAAGTGGGTGTATATGAGGCCGTGTGTGTAGGGTCCTGTGGACCCTTTAACGCCCATCTTAAAAAAAATCCCCCAAAAAAACACATTTTGAAGCTTAAAAGTTTTAAAATTTTCATATTCATGATCATTGCCCTAGATCATGAATCTTTAAAATTTTATATCAAAAATCTATCTTTAAAGTGGATTTTAAAGGGGGACTGTATTGTACACATGAATACTCATAAAAACCCCATCATTTTAAAAAATAAAAAATAATTTTCTACAAATTTCCCAAAATGAGTTTAGTGAAGTTTTTTTATAACAGCTAAATTTCCTACCTCAAAAACCACCTTTTTAGGCTTGCCCAAGAAGGGCCCCATATTTTGATGAAAATATATGTGTACAGCCCCATGCCAAACTTTCAAGCAATATTTCTCCATATTTTTGGAATCACACAACTAATCCAATTGCTATTTATTTGTGTAAATTTACAATTGTGATTCTAAAGGCTTAAAATTTGAAATGTTAGAGAGAAATTGTCGAGAGAAATTATCTCAAATTACAAATTTAGAGATAAATTATCCTAAATTTATAGAAGGAAAAAATGCCTCAAACTACAAATTTTTCGAGTGAAAAACTCTATGGAAATATAAAAACCTTGTGAGAAAAAGTGCAAGGATAGTAAACAATGGATTTGTGGACTGGGATTATTTTCATCTAAAAAACTAGTATAGTTTATATAAGGTTGAGGCTCAAAACAATCAAAATAAGGTACATCTTCAAATAGTATCAAAAGTTGTTGTTTCAATCCTACAAATAATTGTGTTTGAAAATTCATTTTATTATCTAATTATAAAATTTAAAGCTCAAAAAATAGTGTAGATCAAGCAAAATCAATGAACACTCGATTGAAAATTGATTGTCTAAAAAATGCAATACAATATGCACCATTTTTAAAACTTGAAATCCATTTTTTCTTATATTCATATATCTCTTAAGGGCATCTCAATAGAAATGATGATTTTTTACCAAAGAAACATATATGAGAATTTTTTAGGTGTTCCCATCAGCCCCTCTCAAAAGTCGAGATTTAACAAAAAGAAAAAGTTTATATAGAGCCGAGGCTCTAAACAATCAAATTAGAGCTCATCTAAAAATTTGTATTAAAAAAGATTATTTTGATATCCAAATATCCTCGAATTGATCATCTCGACATCAAGATACATGAGAAAAAAATAGATTTCAAGTTTTAGAAATAGTTTATCTTGTAACATATTTTTGGACAGTCAATTTTTTAAATTTTCATAAATTTATTCAATTTACACTATTTTTTAAGCTTTAGATTTTATAATTAAATATAAAAATATATTTTAAAGCTATCACAAATATTTCCATTTTTCCAAATGAAGGTGCGCTTTACTTTGATTGTTAGAGCCTCGGCTCTATACAGACCATACCCTTGACAAAAACCCTCGTAATTTCGTTCTCAAAAGTCACAACAGAATAGCATTCCCCTCGGTATTTCAAGCTTGTAATCATCCAATTATGCCCGATACGCGCCATTAAAATTCTTGCTCAGAAGCTCTCTCTCTCTATAGGTCTGTTGTATGGAGTTCTCTCTTCTTGCTATTTTATTAGTTTAAGATTGGAATTGAGCATACTAGTTTTACGTGAACCACATTCAGTTCAGAGAGAGAGGATTTTCTCTTTGCTTTTTCAGGGGTTGTAATGGGTCCTTTATTCGAGTGTTTGTTCAATAATTACTGTTTTAGGGCTTAGATTGAGTTTGAATGTTTCTTCGAGGGTTTTGAGGCTTAGGCTTTCTTGCCCTATTTGTTGTTAAATTACTCATTGTTTCTTGTTTATTTGTTAGAAACATGAGCTCAGAAGAATATATAATTGGTGTTTATTTTCCTTGTTGTTATATTTTTCTTCTTTCTTTTAGTTAACAAATCCCTTATGCTTTCTTAACAAATCCCTTATACTTTCTACTTTTGTTTCTGTTCTTTCATTTCCATGGTGTGCCTTTGTTTTTTTTTTCTCTATTTGAGGTTTTTGGCGCTTTTCTGTTTTGTTTATTCCTATGACTATTTCAACTTGATTTTCTAGTAACTTGAACTAATTAATTTAGGTTCCATTTAGTCGACATTGCTTTAGAGGTTGTTTATTCGTGGATTCAATTGAATAATTGACAATTGCACCTTTCTATCTCAGTTCTATAATTCATTTTCTTTTTGTCCCTCGACTGGGGATTAAAGGTCACATAGACATCAAAACTCGGATTTTTCTCATTGATCTGCTAAAAAGAAGTATCTATTCTATTTTTTTTGGTTTTTTTCCTTTTTTTTTTCTTTTCATGTTCCACAGAAGTATGAAACTCTTAATCGATCCAGATTGCGAGGTGTTGAAATTAGGGAAGAAGTAGATTCTTATTGTACCAAGCATATGCATGCAAAGATTATGCTTAGGCAGGGAAGGAAAGCTCCCACTGTAGGTCTATATGGGGTAAGCCCGAACATGATAATATCAATGTAGTTCAAACCAAGTTCAAGTCAAAATTGTCACCTAAATCCATGGTGTGATGTCTTCATGCTTATATCATTTCATATTGGTAGCTTTTTGTTGTGTGTGGTAATAATTTTGACTTTTGAAATGTTGGTTTTCTTCTCTTAATCAGGAGTATAGGACTTTCAATTCTCGATTTGAGGTACCACACTTGCTTCCTGATTCTATTCTTGCATACCTTGTATATCTCCTTTTTTTTTGTCATCTGTAACACAGATAAAATAGTGTTTATTCCAAGCTACAGTGTAAATACTGCTTTATGCTTTTGGCCTAGCTTGTGTTTTGTTGATGCTGATTATTCACTTGGTCTGTCCTTTTTTTCTTTTTCTTTTTTTTTTACTTAGTTATATTTAGTATGAGTTGTTGAACATATTCACAGGCACACATCCCTACACTGATTGCAGGAAATCTGAACATGTAATGATGCTGGAAATGAAAAAGAAGGGTCTAATTAGCGAAGAAGATGCGTCTTTATTGTTACAAAGGTACTCTCTCTTGATTCTTATTTGACAGTTGATTTGATTATTCACTTGCCTCGGTTTCATAATCATAAGCTCTGTAGCATCAATTTTTCCCTTGATTGCAATTTATAGAACTGTACAGTAAGCAGCGTGTGAGTTTTTATCATGAAATTGCATGCAAAGAATGTTACTGGTCCTTTTTTTGGGCGCCATAGGGTGCAAATGCATTAGTCGTTGACCTTAGGGTCATTTTGTCTTTTGGGATGTGACCTTAGAATGCCTTAGTTGCCCCTCATGGTGGAATAATTTTGTTTGTTATGGCTTAAAATCTTATTTTCGATATCTTGGGTCGATAATCCATGAGGATGGAGAGATTGAGGAAGATGTCACACATAGTATTAGAGTTGGGTGAATGAAGTGGAGATGCGCTTTTGTAGTCTTATGTGATCGTTGCATACCAATGAAACTAAAGGGGAAGTTCTATACAACGGCTGTAAGATCAGCCATGATTTATGGGACGGAATTTTGGGCCATCAAGGAACAACATATCCATGGAATGAGTACATGTGAGATAAGGATGTTAAGATAGATGAGTGGCAAGACGAAAAGGATGGAATTTAGAATGAATATATCTGAGGTAACTTAGGGATTACTCATTCATTTTATACACATTTTGTATAATAGGTGTTTGGACCTTGGGTTTCTGTGCGGACGTGCACTAAATGAAATTTCTATAGTCATAGACTAATAATACATATGCAGGTACACTGCCACAACCATACTTGCCTTGCTTCAGGAAGTTGCACAATTTGCTGGTCCAAAGGTTGATTGGAATGTATTGGTTAAGAAGACTTCTACTGGAATTTCCAATGCTAGGGAATATCAGATGCTGTGGCGTCATTTGGCCTATCGAACAGCATTGGCTGAAAAATTGGAAGATGATGCTGAACCTATGGTTTGTCTTCTCTTCCCATTAATTTGGGAATGTGTTTAGCACCTTGTCTTTGATATTATGCTCTTATTGTTTGCCCCTTTCTCTTGGTTCTATACCTCCGGTTATTGTCCTTGACCTTGCTTCTATATATTTGTTGTATAAATTAGTGAGGCTTTTCAAATGCTCTGCTTAAATACTGCCAGTTGTGCTGCCTGCTGGATTATTTATCTTTTTGTTTTTAAGTACTGAGCTTCTTATTCCTGCCTATTACATCTGCAATGAATATCTTATGGTTATACATTTTTTAGGACTTTACACACTGCTTGACTTATGGTTATACCTTGGACTATAACACTGCTTGACTTGCTCATGTTTCTTTGTGCTCCCTTATGGGGAAGCCATCTAAATAATTTCAGAAGAATTTATGACTTACATTATAACTATATATTAGTGTTGCCTTGAATACCTTAGTAAGTAACCAATCTGACCTAACTTTACCACCAATTATTGATGTTTCCTTTATTTCTCAAAAACTGTCACACTTCCCCACTGTATTAAAGCAAAGATCCTATATTTTTCTGTCACGATAGATATTTAAGTGCCGCTGTACTTTTACGAAACCTTTTCTTGTCTTTTTAAAAAGTCCAATTGAGGCCTTTGCATACCACAGCTCTCTATAGAAAGGAAATCTTAATTTTTAAACTTCAACCTGTAATGATTTTCATCAAACTTTGAAAGGGACATATGATTCATGCCTTCTGCGGCATTTTCATGAGTGCTCATGATTATATCCATAAACATGCTCCAACTCTTAATCTCATATAGTACTGGGTTTGCAAAAAGTAACCAGCTCTTTTATGTATTGTCACCTAACTACTCCAGCTATGGAAAACTTTTCCATTAAGTAAGGGGATTGCAATATTTTATTGTTCAATGTGCGATTTCTTGCCATACATTAAGATTATAAATAGGGAAAATATCTCCATACCCCCAGTTTTTAAGTCTCATTTCTCACTAGACCCAAAGTTTTAGAACATATCTTGATGCATGGAGATGCCATGTATTATATTTTATAACCCCCTAGACCCACTTTACACACTTTGACTCTCTTTTTCTATCCTAAACAAATTTTAAAAGACGTCTTTTATTACCCAACTCTCTCTCCGTTTCTTTCTCTCCACGTGTATTCCAACCCCTCTCTCTCCATTTTCTTTGCATAACCTCTCTCTCTCTCCGTGTGTATGCCAACATCTACCGACCTCTTTCTCCCTCTACTTTCTCCATGTGTATGTTAACTGAGCTCTTAGTCTGCAGTAGCTTCCCTTCCGTTATTCGATCAAAATCCTGAATTTCACCTCTCCTAGGCTCCACTTCAAATAAAAGAACATTACTATCTTTGTTTATGGGCTTCAAAGAACCAGGATAAAAGTAGTCCTGATCTATCTCTCTACCATGAAGATAGAAAACCAGTGAACCATCTGATTCACTAATGGTTTCAAAGACAGGGGCCCAAAGTAGAGGGCTATTGAAGCCTTGAGGACCGAGTTCTTGAGAAATTATGCGACAAGCGACTAGAGAGAGAAAGCCCCACATGGCATATACCACATTCCCAAGCTCTGGGTTCTGATGAACCCACATTCCAATCAGAGGCCTAACACTAAGGAGAAAGCGACAAAGCGCTTTATAAGAAGCCATGGATTTTCTCCATAGGATCAAATCCTCAGCTTTAAGAGCACCCAATCTCTCGCACTGAGAGAACCAGACCTTATTAGAAATGGCAAAACCAATGAGGCTTTTGCAACACAAGCTAAGGTTACAGACATCTCTGGGGCAAATAAATTTTGATATCACAGCGAGCACATCATCTGGTAACGCTTGGAGGAAGCTCGAGCTTCGATATTGGGCATCAAGCTCTTCATGGGTTCCAATTTCTAGAGGACCACCATAGCTAAGAGAAGGATCTGGCTTCTCTTGTAAAGGGCAAGCCATGGCCACCATGTTCTACCGTCGAACCAGCAAGAAGAGCCTCAAAGAAAACCCATCAAAGAATTGTGCATTCGGGTTTCAAATTCTGAACAATTATTGACATTTCATCAAATTTACAGAGGAACCCATCAAAATAAAGTTTCAAATTTCAATCTCTCTCTCTGAAACAGTGAACCCTTTAAACCTAGACGAAAGAACACTATTTCTTCTCTAATCTCGATTCAAAAAGAAATACCAATTCATGCAAGACCAGAAGAAAGCCACAAACTTTGCCTTCCACTATAAGTCCAAAAACTACCACAAACTTTGCCTTCCACTATAAATCCAAAAACTACCCAAGATTCAGCCACAACTGGAAAAGTGACCCAACTCAGGGTTCTCTCTCTCTACCTCAGATTGAGCTAATCCAACAAAACGAGATCCAAGACTTTCTCTCTCTACTCCTAATCCATAAACTAACCATGATTTTATAATCCTACTTCCTACAAGTCCATACCCACAATCATGCGTTAGACCACCATCATGCAAAAGCTCAAAAACAAGCGAGAGAGAGTCTAGAGAGAGAATCTAGAGAGAGAGTAATAAAGTGAGATAAAATGAAAGGGACCTCTGGCGTAAGAAATTGCAGAAACAGGGCTCTTCAGAGCATCAATGGCCTTATATAGAAAAAAGATCGAATTCCACCGTGGGCGGCCAGCGATTGAGGTACCGCAATATTTTTAATGGTGGGTTATAGAGAATTCATGGCCCACATTCGTGTGTTTTTAGAGAGAGAGAGAGGGGTTACTTAACCAGAAAAATGGAGAGAGAGAGAGGGGTTTGGGAAACACGTGGAGAGAGAGAGAGAAACGGAGAGAGTTGGGTAATAAAAGACATGTCTTTTAAAATTTGTTTAGGGTAGAAAACGAGCGTTAAGGTGTGTCAAGTGGGTCGAGGGGGTTAGAAATAATATATGGTATCTCCATGCATCAAGATATGTTCTAAAACTTTGGGTCTAGTGAGAAATGAAACTTAAAAGCTGGGGGTATGGAGATATTTTCCCTTATAAATAACCCGAATATTGGAAATTGGAATTGTTGCCATTTGGAATTTTTTTTTCAGCTTGCTTCAGTTATATACAAAATCATTTGGTAGGCTGAGTATGATCATATTTGCAGGATGATGATAGTGATTTGGAATTTGAAGTGGAAGCCTCTCCCACTCCTAGCAATGAGGCTTTGGCAGAGGCCACAGCTTGTGTAAAGGTAGTTCTGACCCTTTATTAATGGAAGTTAGTTGCTATATTTGTTGATTAAATTGGTAAAATCTGCTGTCCTAATATTCACTATCAATTTAACTCCATGCTATACCCATCCTTTCATCATGTTGACCTTCATACTTTGTCGGGCAGCTTAAAGATTACTTTGTCTGAACAAATTGTCGCTTACCATCTGCTTTTTAAATGGCTAACCTGGGTTTGAGAAACCATTAAAAAAAAGCTGGGTTGGAAAAACTTTCAATTGGTGTTGATCTTTTCATTGATTATATGCTGAGTGGTTTTGCTTATTGACCACCCATGCCTTAGTTGAAACCAATGGTTTAAAAACCGG